GCACTAGCTAGGGCAGTAGCAGCAGCAGCAGCTACTATAGGAAGAAGCCTAGCACTAATAGCTATAGTAATAGGCGGAAGAGCTATACTAGCAATACCTATAGGAAGAGGCCTAGCAGCAACGGGACGAATAAGCCCGGTTTATAAAGCTATTTTACTAGATATTATAAGACCTAGACTAATAAGTAACCCTACGCCGGATCCTTAATACCCTCCTAACGCTAGCTCCGATAGATACGCCCCCCGCTACCGGGAGGTCGGAGCGCGAGGCGGCCCTCGGTAGACGAAAGCCACTGCCTTAGCCTACCTAGGACGGTAAGCTAGAGACCTTTTACTTCTTCCTTAACCGCCTAATAGCGAAATACTATATTAACGAGAAATAGGGCCTTAACGGCTATAAGGAGACGGCTTAGTTCTCGCTCCTCTATATACTACCGGAGCCCTAGATACGGCGAATAGCGGGCTTCTAGGAGCGGGGTGGTCCTAGGGGGACGAAAGACCCCTAAGCATTCTTTAACTACCTAGTCTACGCCTTCGGCAACGTATAGGAATAGGAGAAGGCGTAGGATAGGCTGCGGACCCTTACTTAATAAGAGGGGCAGTCCTTCGGGGGGCCGGATAGCTCCTCCTTGCTTAACCCGTCTACGCCCGGGCCCGCTCCTAAGTCGGCGGTCGATGCGGACGGCGACGTCCGGATAGCGGCTATACGCCCTAGGGGGCGCGGTAATAGTAAGACCCCGGCCGCTCCGCTAGCGGCGCAGTCTAGTAAGACGGCTAAGTAGGTGCCCTACGAGGAAATTAGTAAACGACGTAAAGAGGGCCGCTATATACGTTGCGGCGTAAGCACGTATATAGTTAAGTCTTGCCCCTACCTCCTAGTAAGGAGGCCGGTAGAGATACGGGTTACCCGCGCCCGATTAGAATCTAACGACGAGGGAGATAAGGGAACCTCCGCTATATACGAAGCGGAGGGAAAAGCTTAGCTCCGGTGCGAAGGCGGGCCCTAGAGCCTAGTAAGCTAATACTAGCTAAGGAGGACCTAGTAAGGCGTATTAAAGAAGAACCTACTTTAATATTAGTTATTATTAACTAGACTTACCTCCTCTCTGCCCTTATAGACGAGGGTTGCTAGTATTACGCCGCAATTAACGAAGCGAAAGCCCTTAAGCTACGCTTACTAGTAAAGAAGATTCGCCCTAAGCGTATAAGGGGCGCCTCGGCCGCGATAGAGGGCGCGGTTATTAAAGGCGTCGCCTAGGTAGCTACGGAGGTTAACGGCCTCCCGCGGCTGCTAGTAGTATATATAGTCCCCTAGCTTAAGTTTCCCTTAATTCTTAGGAAGCCGTAGTTAACGTATACGAAGTTATATTTAGTGCCATACGAGGGGAGGCTGTGGTTTAGCCCTACGTAGTCCTAGGTCCGGCATAGCAGTAAGGAGGGAGCGCTAGACGCTCTGCCCGACTTATAAGACGCCTAGGAAGTCTTAGCCTCGGTGTTCGTAGGCACGATATAGTAAATCCGTAGGCGGAAGGGGCCGGCCGTAGCTATAGCGTCGATCTACGCGGTTAGCCTAGCGGATATTAAAAAAGCGCTACGACCGAAGCGCCCTTTATCGGAAGAGGAGCTACGGTAGGCTATCCCGCCGCGGTTCTACGACCTACTACCGCTCTTCCGGAAGAGCGAGGCCGATAAGTTAAACCCCTATAAGCCGGGCGTAGACCACTTAATACCGCTCCGTATAAGGGACAACGGCAAGGAGCTTCCCCCGCCGTTCGGGCCGCTATATAGCATATTACGAGAGGAACTACTAGTATTAAAGAAGTCCCTTATAGACCTCCTCGATAAGGGATTTATTAGGGCTAGCTCCTCTAAGGCGGCGGCTCCGGTTCTATTCGTGCGGAAGCTAGGGGGGGGACTTCGCTTCTACGTAGACTACCGAGCGTTAAACGCGATTATATGCCTAGACCGGTACCCCCTTCCGCTTATAGGAGAGACCCTCCGTAACCTAGTAAAGGCGAAGTAGTTTACGAAGCTCGACGTCGTCTAAGCGTTCTATAAGGTGCGAATAGCGTATAGGGAGGAGTAGAAGACGGCGTTCCGTACGAGATATAGCTTATTCGAGTAGATAGTTACCCCCTTCGGCCTAGTAGGTGCCCTAGCTACGTTCTAACGTTATATTAACCGGGTGCTTAGGGGTTTCCTCGATAAGTTCGCGTCCGTATATATAGATAATATTCTTATCTATTCGAGCGGGAGCTACGAAGACTATATATAAAAGGTATAGAAGGTGCTAAACCGCCTAGCAGAGCACGGCCTATACCTAGACCCGGATAAATACGAATTTAGCGTTAAGCGCGTTAAATACCTTAGCTTTATTATTATCGCGGGCGTAGGCGTATAAGCGGACCTAGCTAAGATTTAAGCTATCCGCGACTAGGCGACCCCGATATCGCAACGAGGCGTACGGAGCTTCCTTAGCTTCGCTAACTACTACCGGGTCTTTATTAAGGAGTTCTCGCGGATCGTGCTACCGCTTAACGAGCTAACGGGGGATAGGGCCCCCTTCTCCTAGGGACCTATATAGGCAGAGGCGTTCTAAACCCTTAAGGACTTATTTTCGTAGGCCCTAGTACTACTATAGTAGGACTCGGCAATCCCTTAACTATAGAAGGGACTATAGCAGCTACGCACTTAGGGAACCCTATCCTAAGAAGTAGAAAGGCAGAGAGAGTTAGTAGCGTTACTCGCGTAAGCTACCACGGAGAGAGGAACTACCTAATCTACGATAAGGAGATATTAGCGATTATTAGCTACTTAAGTAGTAGTAGGGAACTCAGCTGATTAGAGCTTCGAGATCCTTATAGACTATAGGAACCTCGAATACTTTATAACCCGATAGTATCTCTTAGAGCGGCAGGCGCGCTAGGCGGAGTATCTCTCGCGCTTTTAGTTCCGCATTAAGTATAGACTAGGCAAGGAGGCTACGGTCCTAGACGCCCTCTTATAGAGAGAGTAGGACCGGCCTACCTCCGTAGACCTTAATACGCGAGATATATAGATAATCCTAGATAAGGCGCTCTAGACTTACCTCGGCGCTACTCTATTAAGGGCGGAGGGTAACCCCCTAGGAGCGGCTAGGGTCCCGGCCCCCCCTAAGGGTGCGCCCGACGTCCCTCGGCGTATCTTCTAAGACAAGGAGCTCTAACGCTTATAGGACTAGCTAGCGGTATAAGATAGCACGTATACGAGCGTACGCCGCGCTATAAAGGCGGGGGCGCGCTTACTTAACTACGGCCTTAGTTTAAAAGTCTAAGTAGGCGACTGCTATATCGACCCCCGTAGCCACCTTCGCTATAAGGGCAGGCTATAGGTCCTAGGCGCGCCGGCGACAACGGAGGCCGTAGCTAGGGCGGCCCCCCCGGAAGTCGAGGAGCGGGATAGGTTAAGAGGGCGGATCGTATAGATAATCCACGACTTAAGCGTAATCGGCCATCCCGGCCGCGAGGGCACGTTAGTAGCGATTAGCCGGGACTTCTACTAGCCGCTTATAGCACCGTACGTCCGCTGTTTCCTCCGTAACTATAATATCTACGGCCGCTCGAAGATCTAGCGAGCGCTTAAGAGGGGGCTATTAAAGTCACTGCCGGTCCCTAACCGGTTCTATACGTATATATAGATAGACTTTATTACGGACCTCCCCCTTATAGCGGGCGGCAACCGCAATCTCTAGGTAATTAAGGACCGTCTAAGTAAGGAAGTAGTACTAGAGCCGATGCTATTTATAGAAGCGGAGGCCTACGCCGAGCGCTTCCTTTAGTACTACGCCCGCTTCTACTAGTAGCTAGCCTCGATTACTAGTAATAGGGGCACTAATTAGACCGGCCGCTTCTAGCAGTACCTCTATAAGCTACTCTAAGTTACCTAGTTACTAAGTACGGCCTACTACCTATAGACTAATAGGGGGCCTAAACGCCTTAACTAGGAAGTCTAAGCTTACCTTTAACGGGTAATAGCCCGTAACTAAGCGGACTAGGATAAGTAGCTTCCCGTAGCCTAGATAGCGCTTAATAGTAGGTCGAACTTATCTATTAGTATATCCCCCTTCCTTACGCTATATAGGTTTAAACCGCCGTCGGCGTAGCCTATTACCGTAGATATAGGTGCGGAGCGCTACCTAGCTAGCTCCCCGGAGGGCAGGGCGTCCGCCTTTATACGGAAGCTATAATAAGTTTCGGAGTTCTACTAATCCTCGATAGCGTCTGCCGCCTAAGACTAGGAGCGGTAGGCTAATAAGTCGCGGGATCCTATAGATAGGTTCGCGGTAGGGGATAAGGTCTAGTTAGACCTCCGTAACTATAGGTCGACGAGGCTAAAGAAGAAGCTCGATTAGCTATACGCTAAGTATATAGTAAAGAGGGTGCTAAGTCTATAGACTATAGAGCTAGAGGGGCTGCCCTCCGGTATCTATAGCACGATTAACGTAGACCTCCTTCGTCGCGCCGCTATAGACCCCTTACTAGGCTAAGAGATAGCGGATCCCTAACTAGCCGCTATCCTCGTTAAGGGGGAGGAGGAGTTCTCGGTAGAGGAGTTACGGGCAGCCCGTTAAAAGAACGTAGGCCGCGGTAGGAGGCGCGAAGTCCTCGTTAAGTAGCGCGGCTACTAGGACCTAACGTAGGAGCTAGCTTCCGAGTTCGAGGGCGCGGTAGCTCTAGATAGGTTCGAGGCCCTTTACGGGCTAATAGAGGAAAGCGACGGCCCGGCGAGAGAAGCTACCCCCCTAGCGGCAAAGTAGCTAGCACCCTAAGACGCGGGGGAGACCACGCCCCGCCCCCGAGGAAGCGGCGGGGCACCGGGCCCGCGGCGGTCGCTACGCTAGCGCAAGCTACGGGCGCACGTTACGGATACCGCGACTACGGATAATAGGCGGGGCGCACTTAGGTCGGCGGCAGCATAAATAAATCGCATTAGCCCTTATAGGCGCGCTCGAGGGCGCATAGACTAGGCCCGGCGGGCCTTCTTCTTCGGCGGGGTCTCGACCACTAGACGGTTATCCTCGTCCTCCTCCTCGTCCTCCTCCTTAGTGTGAGGCGCGGCCCCGGCCTCGAGGGCGCGGATCCGGCCCTCTAGGCCACCTAGCCAAGCGGCGACGGCGGCGGCGTTAGGGACGGCGGCGGCGGCGGCGGCGGTGCCGGTAGTGGTAGAGGCGGCGGCGGCAGAGGTGGCGGGGGCGGCCAGGGCGGCGTCGACGGTGCCCCTAAGAGAGAGAGAGTTAGCGCCGTAGAGAGTGCGGGAAAGGGAGCTTACGCACTTAGGCACGAGGGCGGCGCGCTCGAGGAACCGTAAGTTACGGTAGGCGGCGGCGGCGGCGGTCAAGGCGCGCTTAGCCTTATTCTGGTCCTTGCCCGGCTCCGCGGCGCTTTAAGCTACGGCAGCACGGGTAAGGACGGGCGGCGCAACCTTATATACGCGGCTAGCCCGGGCGTATAGGAAGTAGCTGCCCTAAGGGCGGCCGGCCTAGTCGGCGTAGGGGAGGGACTGCGAGGCACACCGCACGTAGGGGGAATCGCGGGTGGCGCCCCGGGCTATGGCGCGCTTATGCTAGTACGGGGAGTTAACAATACTCGCGAGAATAAGGGCGGAGGGGCTTACGGAGGAGGGCGGCGAGGACCCGCGCTTATTATTATCGTCGTTATCGTCGGCGTTATCGCGGCGGCCGGTAGCGGAGAGCGTAGCGGGGGCGGCGGCGGCGCGGGCAGTAAAGTTAACGGCCGAGAAGCCGGGCAGCGGGTGGCGCGGAGCGGCGGCAGGCGCGACTAGGGCGGCGGGGGCAGTAGGTAGGGTGGCGGGCGAGGCGAGGGCGCGATCGACGAAGTCGTCGATCTCGGCGGAGAAGTAAGACGAGGCGGGGGAGGATATATTAAATTGTTTAAATAACTAGCGGGGGTGCGGGTTAGCTCGTATACGGGCGGCAGCGCACGGCTAGGCGCTAGGAGACTTATAGTTATAGTTACGGCTACTACTACTAATAATAATAATAATAGTATAGTTAAGAGGAAAGAGCGATAGGAGCGCGCTAGTAGGTTATTTACCTCCTAGCCGCGCGCCGAGGTACGGGATTAACGTTATAAGGGACCGCCTATAGAGAGAGGGGAGGGGACCTTATATAAGGGTATTTACCCTTAGTATAGGTCTAGGCATTAGCCTAGACCTTAGCCGATAAGCGTTACGGGTTAGGGCAGGCTATATATATAAACGCGTATTTAGTAGTAGTAGGCGCGGCGTATAGTTAGATCCTATATAGCTTATTATTATAATATAACGGAAGGCACCTACGGTATAACCCTCTACCTACCCTATAATAAGAACCTTAAATACTTTATAACCTAATAGTATTACTTAGAGTAGTAAGTATACTAAGCGGAGTATCTCTTACGCTTTTAGTTCTATATTAAGTATAAACTAAGTAAGGAAGCTATAATCTTAGACGCCCTCTTATAAAAAAAGTAGGACCGGCCTACTTCTATAAACCTTAATACGTAAGATATATAGATAATCTTAGATAAGGCGCTTTAGACTTACCTTAGCGCTACTCTATTAAGGGCGGAGGGTAACCCCCTAGGAGCGGCTAGGGTCCCGGCCCCCCTTAAGGGTACGCCTAACGTCCCTTAATATATCTTTTAAGATAAGGAGCTTTAACGCTTATAGGACTAGCTAGCGGTATAGGATAGTATATATATAAGCGTATACCGCGCTATAGAAGTAAGGGCGCGCTCCTTTAACTATAGCCTTAGGTTAAAAGTCTAAGTAGGCGACTACTATATCGACCCCTATAGCTACCTTTACTATAAGGGCAAGCTATAGGTCCTAAGCGCGTAGGCGATAACGGAAGCTATAGCTAGGGCGGCCCCCTTAAAAGTTAAGGAGTAGGATAAGTTAAAAGGGTAGATCGTATAGATAATCTATAACTTAAGCGTAATTAGCTATCCTAGCTATAAGGGTATATTAATAGCGATTAGCTAAGACTTTTACTAGCTACTTATAGTACTATACGTTTACTATTCCCTTTATAACTATAATATCTATAGCTACTTAAAGATCTAGTAAGCGCTTAAAAGGGGGCTATTAAAGTTACTACTAGTCCTTAACTAGTTTTATATATATATATAAATAGACTTTATTATAGACCTCCCTTTTATAGCGGGCGGTAAATATAATCTCTAGGTAATTAAGGACTATTATTAGAAGGTATAAGTAATAAGCGTAGGATTAGGTAATCGATAACGTAAGCGGAAATATTAGTCGAAGGAGTATAGGGTAGGATTTCGTCCGGAATTTATAATAAGTATATAAGGGGCTAAATTATTTATTAAAAGAATAGCGTTATAAAAGATACTTATAAACTTACTTATTTTATCTACTACTCCTAGGGAAATCCTTTATCTTTTATAGACTATTACTCGCTTACTAGTTAGCTAACTAGTTAGCTTTCTAATATATTCTATAGTGCTTAAAAAGCTCTATCTATAGTATATCTTCCTAACTTAGTAGGTAGTCTAATTATAACGCAATAGTTAACGTAAGACTATAGGTTTTAGTATAAGTAGTAGATTTAACTAGAATATTCTATGCCCTACCTATTCTTATATCGCGGATATCTTTAGAACCGCTAGGCTAAAATAGTTAATAGGGTATCCGTTCTACTCGTAATTAACTTATATATATTATATATATTTTATTTTATTAGGATAGGCTTATCTTAACCTGCTTTTCCTAAAGCAAGGTATAGATATCTAGTAGAGGTCTTTATCTTTAAGGGTTATTCCCTTAGATTATATTATAGAGCCTCTTCTTACTTACTTATTCTATAAAGCCTCCCTATACCTATTATTTCTTTATAATAGTAAAATAGGAATATAAGGGTATATTCTTATAGCCTCCCTTAAAGAGTACTAGGTAAATAGTACTCTTTACTAGTTAGCTCTTTTATAGTAGAATTATCCTTATTAAGAATAAGGTATATAATAAGAATATAAAGGAAAATTTTAAAATCCTTTCTAGGAAAAACCTTAGTAAGAAAAATCCTAGTTATAGTTATAATATTTCTCCTTTTTTTAGGTAAACCTTTATAAGAAAAAAGCCTTATAAAGTTATTATAGGAAACCTTTAATAAGGAAAACCCTTATTTTTATAAGTTGTTTTTTACTAATAGGAAACCTTTTTAAAGGAAAAAACCTATTAGTTATATATAGAGGAAAAGCTAAGAAAGTAAAAGATAGCTAAAAAAAACCTTTATTAAAGGGATATAAGCTTTCCTTTTAAGGCTCTTTTAATTCCTTAATGGAAAGAAGCTCTTAGAACTTAAAGAATTTTTCTCTTCTTAGTTCCTTATTAAATATATCGGTAATATTATATTTAGATTTAATATAGAAAATCCGTATCTTCTTTTCGTTAATATTTTCTTAGGTATAGAAGTAAGTAATATCTATATACTTTGTCTTTATATAAAATTTCGGATTTTTAGCTAATTTAATAGCTACCTCGCTATCCGTTAAGATAGGAGGTATAGTATTAAGAATTCTAATAGATAAGCTATTATTTATAGAATAAAATAGCTAATTTAAATATAAAGCTTCTTTATTAGCCTCCTTAAGAGCAATAAATTTAGCTTTATAGGTTAATAGGGCTATAGATTTTTACTTTTAACTAGCCTATCTTATAATATTTTTATAAGTATAGAAATAGTATCTAGAAACGGATTTTATATTTATAAGGTTAAACGCCTAGCTAGCGTTAGAATAACCTTTTATAAAATTATAAGTATAAGGGATATTATAGTATTATACTATCCCTAGGTTAAGGTATTTATTTAAATATTTCTAGATTATATTTAACGCTTTAAAATACGTATTATTTAATAGAAGTAAGTCTAGTATAGGAAATAATAGTATATAAAATATCTAGCCTACTTATTAAAGCTAGATATAATAGAGCCCTTATTTCCCTTTAGTAAATTAAGATTTCTTTTTTATAAAGGCGTTATAATAGCCTTTTTAAGCTTTACCCTTACTATAGTAAGCGTATTAAAAGTCCCTAAGGCTTCTTTATTATATTCTCGTATTTTATTATAAGTATAACTTTCCTAAGATATAAATATCTCCTTTCTACTTCGGTTTATAATTATATATATTCCTAAGAAGTCTTTTAGTTCGGTTAAAGGCTAGACCTTTATATAATCTATTACTATTTTAAGTAGATTACCTATTATACTTTTATTAAGGCCTATTATTAGGAGGTTATCTATATAGATTACTATCGGAATTTTATATTAAATATTTATAAATACCCCTTTATCTATAAAAAGGGCCGAAAATCTTATCTTAGCTAAAATAGAGCTAAGATAGTTATACTAAAGCTTTAGGATTTATTTAAGGCCGTATAATACTTTTATTAATTTTACTACTAGCCTTTTCTTTTTATATAGCTCTAGGAACAATAAATAGCTAATATTATACTTATACTAGTTTTTATTAAACTAGTCTTTAAGTATTAGCTCTTTATAGCCTATAGGGATTTTTATATAAATATCTATATCTATTTCGGTATATATAAAGGGATTTTTTATATTATATTATAGTAGAGCGTAATTATTAGAAATAGCTATTATAAGTAGCATTCTAATAAATTCGGGTCTTAATATCGTAGAAAGGGTTTCTAAAGAATCTAAGCTATAGACCTAATTAAATCCTTATACTATATAGCGGGCTTTATATTTAATAATATTATTATTATTATCCCTCTTTATTTTATAGACCTAACGGCTACTTAAGGCCTTCCTATTACTAGGAATTATAAGAATATACCCTTATCTTCCTATTTTAGTATTATAAAGAAATAATAGGTATAGGGAGGTTCTATAAAATAAGCTAGTAAAAAGAGGCTCTATAATATAGTCTAAGGGAATAACTCTTAAAGATAAAGACCTCTATTAAATATCTATACCTTCCTTTAAGAAAGGTAGGTTAAGATAAGCCTATCCTAATTAATAAAAATATATTTTTTATATATAGGTTAATTATATATAGAACGGATACCCTATTGCTTATTTTAGCTTAGCGGCTCCGAAGATATCTATAAAACGAGAATAGGTAGGGCATAGAATATTCTAGTTAAATCTACTACTTATACTAGAACCTATAGTCTTACGTTAACTATTACGTTATAATTAGACTACCTACTAAGTTAGGAAGATATACTATAGATAGAGCTTTTTAAGTACTATAGAATATACTAGAAAGCTAACTAATTAATCTACTAGTAAGCGAGTAATAGTCTATAAAAGATAAAGGATTTCCCTAGGAGTAGTAGATAGAAAAAGTAAGTTTATAAGTATCTTTTATAACGCTATTCTTTTAATATATTATTCTATCGCGAAGTATAGCCTAATTTCGTAGTTCTTAGAGATATCCCTTAGTACGAGGGACCTAGGAAGCTAAAAAATAGGTTTTAAGGAATAAGCTAAAAAGAGGTATAGAGAGGAGGGTAGGGATAAGAGGGGAAGTAAAAGTAGCGATAGCTTCTTATAGAGGTAGCGAGAGATAAGACGGATATAACGGTAACGGCTAGAAAGGAGGGGAAAAACTAGTAAAAAGCTTAGTAGTTAAGAGGATATTAGTAGCTTCTTTAAGTAGGATCTTCTTTATTAATTAAGATACTAAAAGGGTATAAAGAGGGGCGTTAGATAAAGGAAAGAAGGAGAATTAAGGTAATATAATAATTACTCCCCTACCTTAATTACTACTACTATAAGAATTATATATCTCTGCCCTACCTATCTAACCCCTTACTTTTAATTTTACCTTTATATATTTTATATATACTTCTTATATCTCTCTTTACGAGAGTTATAAGCCTAAGAGGAATAGTATTCTTATACCTTCTAGCTATTATAAAAGGCACCTTTCTTATATCCCTTATAGCTCCCTTTTACCCTTCTTACTAAAAAAGCCGATTTTTAACTAACTTTTCTACCCCCCTCTTCTATAACGATATCGAAAAACGACTCTACTATCCCTACGGTCTATAAGGCGATTCTTATAGAGCCCTAAGATTAAGATAAGTAGGTAAAGGAGCTATAGGCTTATATAAATAGAACTATTTATAATTTAGTCTTCTTTAATAAGTAGGACCCTCTTAAGCCC